CTCTTGGAATTATGGCAATTGAAATGATAGAAAATGAACCACCATACCTAGATGAAGAACCATTGAAAGCCCTATATTTAATTGCAACAAATGGAACTCCAACTTTAAAGAAACCTGATAAATTATCTATGGAACTTAAAAGGTTTCTGGCCGTATGTTTATGTGTAGATGTTGGAAAACGTTCAACAGCTTTGGAGCTTTTAGATGTAATTATTACTGTTATTAAAAATTATTTGATTTTAATTGAATTAAAAATATTTTAAAACTAATTTACTAATATTTTAATAATAAAATAGCATGAATTTCTCAAGAAATCTTGTCCATTGTCAGATCTTGCACCTTTACTTAAATTCAAGACATCTAAATAAAAATTTTTTTTTTGAAGAACAATTAATAATATTAGAAGTACCCTTAAAAAATTTTTAATAAAGAATATAGAATGAAAAAAATTTTTTATCACTGATAACGTTATAGATATACTTTGATTCATTTGCTATTTATTTATTAATATTTATTAATGTTATTAATGTTATTTATTTAATATTGGATTTTCTTAATTTATAGTAATAGATGAAAATAATTAGTAGCATGGTAATTGGTAGTAGTGGAAAGTTCGAATTTTTATATAATGTTGTTGTATATAATACTTTTATTTATTTATTTTAAGAAAATTTAATTCTCCTTTTAATAAAAAATTTTTAATTAAATTAGAGATTCGTATAGTACTAGTACTGGTACTAGTACGTATTATTAGCAAATCGCCTTTTTCACCTTTTACTTGCATTGAGCCAATTCCTGTTTTACACTACTAACAACATTAAAGACTTGAAGAGTAATATTAAGCAATGCATAGATCGACACGATACTGACCAGGACCTCTGGCAGCATCCAAATTGAACAATTGACAACAAGTATGTGGCAAGGGGGTGTAGACCTTTTGCAAATGGTCATCCATAATGCAGCTGCGGTTGGAGACCATGTAGAGTAACATAAAATCGAATTTGCGAAATTCATGCATGGGTTCCCATTTGTCTGTCATTCCAGAGCCAGAAGTGGAAACTTATATGTATTAGTATATGCAATATGAGTAAAGTAAATGGAGTGAACAAAATATTTTAACGTTCGTATTGGGTATATTATTCAGCCTTAAAAGTATTACACGTATCAAATATTACATTGATTGTATAAATATTGATGCAAATGTTAAATGTTAATTTAAAAAACTCAAAATTCAAAATTCATCACTTGACTAGCTAACATCCAACCCTCCAATCAATTTCCTTGGAGAGCTAATAACAATTCTTTACCAATTGTTAAAAAGAGCGAGCGGTCATAAATGGATGACTGTTCGCTATAACGAGGCACAAGACTCCTTTCAATGTTCTATCGGCAAAATTTTCAATTTCGTTTCCATCATCTGGGATCAACCCCAAATATATTAATATCTACAGATGCCAGGTGTCACAAAATTAGGTTAAAGACAGCGGTAAATTCTCGCAAATTTCATATTACTACTATCTATTATTATTTTGGGGTGCTAATGTAGGAGTACTCGCATTCAACCAACAATCTTAAAATCTCTTAATCAGGAAGTAACATGTTCTTTTTAAGAAGAAATGAATCAGAAGGCTGTAAGCACTCATCCTAATCACAAACGGACTTCTTTTCACAGGAGATTTGTTTGATGTTGTTATTTGACATATTTTCAAATTTTATAAAATTATTATTATCATCCTAGAAATCTTGTACAACATTAAAAAGCTATATAATGATCAGACAATTTGACAATTTTACAAAAAGAAAAAAAATGTTTAAAGAAAGTTATTTGAAATGTAAAGACTATTTTATGATAATTTTAAATAAAATCAATTATAATAATAATAAAAGCAACAACATTAATATAATATTGGCAAATTCATTTATATCACCGATATCAGTAGCAAAATCAACACAATCATTAATAAATCATAATTTTAATACATTCTTCCTAATGGAATCATCAGTCAAATTAATTTTTGTAAAAAGATTAAATAATCATAATCGTAACCATCATTACTATAAAAATTATTCGACTACTAATCTAAGTTTTAAAAATCCAGCACATTTCAAAAGTAACATTTATATTGATGAAGGTTTTGTTGATTCATTGTCACCACCATCGTTATCGCCACCACCACCATCACCATCATCTAGTGGTAGCAGTATACTAAAAGATCAAAAAATTTTATCAATGGACGATATAAAATATATTAATAAATTAAAAGATATTAACACATTTGGAACAAACATGTTATCAAAAGATTTGGATAGAATAATCTTAAGCAAACACTTGGAAGAAGAGTACGATCAAAACGAATTATCGTATTACACGACTAGAAAACTCACTTTGGATTCTAATGGAAAACCATTAATTGATGTAGAAAACAAAAGCATCGAAGAAATCTGGACAAATTATAAGAACCTTAGTATTAAACGATTATTGGCACTAACAATCTATGATTTCAATCAATTACTCGCCTCCTTTCTAAAGTATTTGCCTCAAAATCCTGATCTTTACACAAAAATAAATTCTATAATTTATGAAATGGAGGAACTACCAAATGTTGAATTGGATGTGTCAACTTACAATATCTTGATGACATCTTGTGTGAGGATAGGTGACTTGACTACTCTGTATGAATATTTTCAAGCTTTTTTCAATGATGATGTCAAGCCAAATACCATAAGCTACAATATTCTAATATCTGGGTATATTAACACGGAACAAAAAAGTAATCGTAGTTTATTTTTACGCAGTGCATTTTATTTTTTTGATAATATGGTGAGTCAAGGTGTCGAGAGGAACAACAAAACGTACACGCTACTAATCAAAGCATGCGGTGAAATGTATGACTATCCAAAGGCTTTAGGTTTGTTTAACAAGTTGATAGAAGATGGAATAGAACCTGATACTATAGTGTGCAATGCATTATTATCGGTTATTTCAAAAACTCATAGAGATCCTTCAAAGGCAATTGAGTTATTTAATGAAATGAAATCCAGAAAACTACAACCAACAATCATAACATATAATATTATTATAGGATTTATGAAAAAAATAGGAGAGGAACAATTGGCACTGGAATATTTTGAGCTGATGAAAAAAGATGGTATTCTACCTGATGCCAAGATACTAGAATCTATTGGTATTGTAGGTATAAAGGCGATTAGAATGTTGCGAGATGAATTCAATACAATGCCAAAGTTGATTGATTATAATTTAATGTTGTATTCCGAATTGCAAGAATCAGATTATGAAGATGCATTAGAGGTTTATAGACACATGCAAAAGCACAACGTAAAGCCTAATTTGACAACTTATGCAATAATAATAGATGATCATGTAAAAGGTGAGAAACCTGATAATGCGTTAGACATATTCAATGTTATGTTAAAAGAGAACTTGAAAATAGATTTTGGAATTTATAAAGCATTAATAAATGCATATTTGAACAATCGTGATTTGGATAAGGTTTTTTACTTGATAGATTTGTTGAAAAAAAAATCAAATATAAGATTGACGCTTGGATCGCTTGAATCAATATTGAAAACAGCAGCCAGGCTACCAGATCCATCGATTATTGAAAAGGTTTTTAAATATTTAAAAGAATCAAAAATAATAGCAGAAAATCAGAACCATAGAAATTTATATAATATTTTATTAAATAAATTAGCAAGTTCGTCATCAATAGAAATCTTAGAAAATTATTTGGATGAAATGGAAAATGACAAGATACCTATAGTATATCCAACATTTTCCAGTATAATTAAAGGATGTGGTTTAGCAAAAAAATTTAACGAAATGGAATGTTGGTATCAAAGAATGATTTTAAAATACAAGTTAAAGCCAAACTCTCAAATATTATCAGTAATAATAAATACTTTTATAGATGATAATAATTTAAATTTAAGTATAGTATATTTTAGAGAATTTTTCAAGTATGATGTTAGAATTAATGAAGATGATGTGATCAGACTGTTAAATCTATTTAGAAAATTTGGTTCAAACACACGACGCAATATAGTGTTAAATATATTAGAACAGAATGGATATGAAGATTATATAACCAATTATAACAATAGAGTACAATTGATCAAAAATAAGCTAGAGACATTTAGATGGTTAGAGGATCATAAAAAAGGTAGGTTGATGGTTGAAAGAATCATACATCAAAAAAATGCTGTTTTTAGGCATAATAATGCTTTAAGAAAATTAGAGGGCAATGCAGCTAATAGACTAAGACTTTGGCAACCTTTTAGTAAATTATTAAAAGATAAAATCAATAATTAATAATAATCAATCCCTTAACGTTTGTACAATTTATATACAATTTATAATGTGTAAATAATATATCCATATAATATTTTTTTAATAAAAGGCTTTTCATGTATAATATTTGACCCGTTTTTATTTTACAAAAACACAATCTGGCTTGAGCATGTGATTAGCCATATAATTATTTATATATATATGCATGTATTGATAAATTATTTATTAAATTATTATTTAAAAAATTAAAGCTATAGACTATTAGTTATTATATACATATATATATGCCTTGATTAAAAATTTTTTTTTGTTGCAAACAAAATTAAAAAATAAACGATATTATGAAATTATGAATTAAAAAATAATATTAATAATATATACTTTTTTTTAAAAAAAAAAATACCAATTACCCCTTTAAAAATGATATAAATAATAATATTTAGTAAATTCTAAAAAATTATTATAATAATAAATAAAATATATATTTAATTAGATGTCATAATTAAAAATGGTATTATTGGTGATGCTCTTTTTTGTTGTTAATGTTTTTAAAATCATCTTATTAATAGTTTGATTGGAAATATGTCAGTAATGACGATAGTGGTGATTATTATTATGTAAATTATAATTATCATCATCATTTGAAACCCATTATGATAATTGTCATGATTACAATAATCATGAACTCCATTTAATTGTCTTCTACTTCTTTTATTACTATGTTATTATCTTCATTGTCATCATCATAATAATAATTATCAAAATTGTTGTCATGATGTCCATTTGTTATTAATTGACTTCCCTCAGCAGTCCCGTAATAATAATCATTACTTTGTAAACTATAGGTTGATTCATCCATCTCATCATGATAATTTAAATGACCATTCACATGAGACGAACTAATCTCATTACCAATCAAACCATTAAACCCATTAACTAGATGGCTATTCTCAAGACCATTACCATTATCAATAATGCCATCGTTACCATCGCCACTATCATTGTCTATTGTCAATCTCACACCAGATATACTTCTTAAAACATAATAATCCAAAATAGGAAACACCGTAGTAATTAAAACTCCAAGACGAAAAGCTATAGCCAATAATTGACCGGTATTATTTAATTTATGAAATTGTTCATAAGGTCCAGCCGAATCCAGTCTTATCAATCCCAAAACTCTAACTAAAGCGGGCCAACTGCTGCTAATCACCAATAAAACCGTAACGTTAGCTATAATATGTTGCAAGCCCATTCTGCTATGACTATTACTACTAATGCCAAATCTTGGACGTATTCTTTTAAATGGTTGAATGGAATAAACTCCAATTATGGTTGCACTTGTGAAATAAAATATCAATGCTATATCACTAACTGTATCAAATTTACCAAATATTGACATTGTTTGTTTACCAAATACTGATTCCAATTTATGTAACTCTTTTTGTTCATCATCCACCAATAAACTTTTAATAAATGACCATAATATGTGACCAAGCAATAAAAACCATATTGAATGACTGATTACAAATAATATAAAAAATGCTATATTACGATATAAAGGTGATTTTGATAGATCACGTTGTAACCTTGATCTTTGATTTTCAAGAATTTTAAGACTGTTAAGAATTCCTTCTTTTAAAGGATTATTATTGTTGTTATTTTTTTTGATTTTATTACTTTTATTTTTACCGCCGCCGTTATTATTATTTCTATTGTTGTTTTTGTTGCTATTGTTATTATTATTATTATTGTTGTTATTATTATTATTATTATTATTATTATTGTTATTATTAACATGCTTTGACTTTGATGGTGATGAAATAGATGTAAAAGTAGAAGTGTTGCCAATACCATTATTCACTAAAACATTCTTAATATTATGATCATCAGTACCAGAATCGACATCAACACTGCCATTAATAATTCCATTATTAATTGTAGAATATAACTGTTCAGAAGAGGAACAACATTGTAATGAATCATTGTTGTAGTTTGATTCAGATGTTGATGGCGATGTTGCCGTCATTAGAGCTTGAGAACGAGATTTTAGATTAGCAGCATAAACAGGTGATTTCCATCCACGTTCCACATTTTCCAAATGTTGTAACAAAACACTAGTTTCCATTTCATTTTCTATCAAGGAATCTTTTAATTGATTACGATAATTAGGTCTCAATGGAAGTTCACTGATGCAGGAAAATATTTGTATGTAACCGATCGGTGTCGCCTTCAAACAGATCCATGCACCGCCCATACAAGTCAACAAATTCAATATAACCCAAAAATCGATATTTTCTATTCCTAAAATCAATCTTGACATGTATATAAAAATGTACATCAGCACACCAACCAGTAACATAATCGTGGCCGTTTCTTGAGCTTTCACCCAAAAAGTTTTAAGTTGATCTGTTTCATTGTAGAAAAAGGCAAAAGGTAATAACACAAACAAAGCAAAATTACATCCCATAAACGTGTAATTCCACAAAGTAACCAATAAATTACTATCCAGCCAACTTAAATAATAATTTTCCGAGTGAATTTCATCATTTAATAATGCAGTTGCTATCATTGTGAATGGTAGTAATAAAAAACCAGCAAAGGCCATTGCTAAACCAGCAGCACACATTATTATTATGACCAATTCATCAATACCACCAAATATCTCATCCTCATCCTCTATATCTGAGCTACCCTTGTATCTTTTTCTAAACTTTTGTAAAATTGAATATGATATTGTATACAATGATAGAAATAAAAGGAAAGCGATAATGTTCTGCCGTATCCAATTATAGAAATCATTAGCTGCTTGTACCTTTGCGTCAAATTGTAAAATATTAAGATTGTTGTTATTATTATTACTTAATGAAAAAGCTGAAGTCATAACAAGAATGAAAGAAACAAATTTTTTTTTATTTGTTTCAATATTAATATTATTAATAATTTTTTCTTTTCAATCTTTCAAAGATCCAAAAAAAAATATCGAGAAAAATATAAAAGAATGACGTAAATTATTGTCACATGAAAAAAGAGATATATATGTTTTAAAATAATTTCTCTTTTTTTATGTATAGAGAAGGAAAAAAAAATATCTTATTTATATAATACTAATAAATATTGAATGCTCTGCACAAAAAAAAAATAAAATGTGCCACGTACGTAAATAAACTACTAAAACGAGATTAAAGTGCGACAACTTACAAGGTGATTTTCACACGATTTTTTATTTTTTATTTTCCTTGCTGATAAATTAAAGAATAAATATATTACCAAGCATTTTAATTAATATGTAATTATGATGTAATTGTAATGATAATAAATAAATGGGACAGATGGTCTTTGTTGGATGTAAATTCACTTTAATATTTATTAGACACTTTAATTTGTTGGAAAGAAAGAATTCACTATTATTTTTTTATAATTATAATCATAATCATATAATCCCACCTAATACATCACGTACCTGAATGGAATACAAAAAAAACAAACTACATAAATACTCCCCCACCTTCTTTAGTTTTCTTTATCCATCTGCTATATTACGATATAAAGGTGATTTTGATAGATCACGTTGTAACCTTGATCTTTGATTTTCAAGAATTTTAAGACTGTTAAGAATTCCTTCTTTTAAAGGATTATTATTGTTGTTATTTTTTTTGATTTTATTACTTTTATTTTTACCGCCGCCGTTATTATTATTTCTATTGTTGTTTTTGTTGCTATTGTTATTATTATTATTATTGTTGTTATTATTATTATTATTATTATTATTATTGTTATTATTAACATGCTTTGACTTTGATGGTGATGAAATAGATGTAAAAGTAGAAGTGTTGCCAATACCATTATTCACTAAAACATTCTTAATATTATGATCATCAGTACCAGAATCGACATCAACACTGCCATTAATAATTCCATTATTAATTGTAGAATATAACTGTTCAGAAGAGGAACAACATTGTAATGAATCATTGTTGTAGTTTGATTCAGATGTTGATGGCGATGTTGCCGTCATTAGAGCTTGAGAACGAGATTTTAGATTAGCAGCATAAACAGGTGATTTCCATCCACGTTCCACATTTTCCAAATGTTGTAACAAAACACTAGTTTCCATTTCATTTTCTATCAAGGAATCTTTTAATTGATTACGATAATTAGGTCTCAATGGAAGTTCACTGATGCAGGAAAATATTTGTATGTAACCGATCGGTGTCGCCTTCAAACAGATCCATGCACCGCCCATACAAGTCAACAAATTCAATATAACCCAAAAATCGATATTTTCTATTCCTAAAATCAATCTTGACATGTATATAAAAATGTACATCAGCACACCAACCAGTAACATAATCGTGGCCGTTTCTTGAGCTTTCACCCAAAAAGTTTTAAGTTGATCTGTTTCATTGTAGAAAAAGGCAAAAGGTAATAACACAAACAAAGCAAAATTACATCCCATAAACGTGTAATTCCACAAAGTAACCAATAAATTACTATCCAGCCAACTTAAATAATAATTTTCCGAGTGAATTTCATCATGTAATAATGCAGTTGCTATCATTGTGAATGGTAGTAATAAAAAACCAGCAAAGGCCATTGCTAAACCAGCAGCACACATTATTATTATGACCAATTCATCAATACCACCAAATATCTCATCCTCATCCTCTATATCTGAGCTACCCTTGTATCTTTTTCTAAACTTTTGTAAAATTGAATATGATATTGTATACAATGATAGAAATAAAAGGAAAGCGATAATGTTCTGCCGTATCCAATTATAGAAATCATTAGCTGCTTGTACCTTTGCGTCAAATTGTAAAATATTAAGATTGTTGTTATTATTATTACTTAATGAAAAAGCTGAAGTCATAACAAGAATGAAAGAAACAAATTTTTTTTTATTTGTTTCAATATTAATATTATTAATAATTTTTTCTTTTCAATCTTTCAAAGATCCAAAAAAAAATATCGAGAAAAATATAAAAGAATGACGTAAATTATTGTCACATGAAAAAAGAGATATATATGTTTTAAAATAATTTCTCTTTTTTTATGTATAGAGAAGGAAAAAAAAAATATCTTATTTATATAATACTAATAAATATTGAATGCTCTGCACAAAAAAAAAATAAAATGTGCCACGTACGTAAATAAACTACTAAAACGAGATTAAAGTGCGACAACTTACAAGGTGATTTTCACACGATTTTTTATTTTTTATTTTCCTTGCTGATAAATTAAAGAATAAATATATTACCAAGCATTTTAATTAATATGTAATTATGATGTAATTGTAATGATAATAAATAAATGGGACAGATGGTCTTTGTTGGATGTAAATTCACTTTAATATTTATTAGACACTTTAATTTGTTGGAAAGAAAGAATTCACTATTATTTTTTTATAATTATAATCATAATCATATAATCCCACCTAATACATCACGTACCTGAATGGAATACAAAAAAAACAAACTACATAAATACTCCCCCACCTTCTTTAGTTTTCTTTATCCATCTAGCAAAACTTTCATCCTCGAGTTTATCTTGATGTGATTTCATTGCTTTATAATCAGGATCTAAAGATTAAAGTAAATAATAATATTAAAAACAACAATATTAAAAGTATTGAAATTATTTTATCATTCCTTTCTCCACCTTCAAAACCAATTCCTCTAGCATCATTTCCCTCATCATCATCATCATCGTCATCATCATCGTCATCATCGTCATCATCAATGTTATTATTAAAACCTTCGTTCATCGGGTCTACCAAAAAAAGATTTGTGTCAAATAATGAATGCGTTAAAATAAATTTTGCTAAGAAATATATATACAAGAATCCAATAATGATCTACCTATTGTTTTCGAAGTATCAGACATATTCATATCCCTCATTAATTTAGTGAGTTGCGCTTGTTTTTTAGCTTCTTGTCGTTGTGACTTGGAAGTAGATAACCAAAAGAAAATTAAAGATATTCAATAATTATTCAACTATTCAAAAGAAATTGTAAGATTATTATTATTATACCTTTTCTTTTATTAATCTCTCCAATTCTGGTCTATATACACTGTTTTCGGACCGGATTTTTTATTTTATTAGCCAATTTCAATTCTTCCCCATAACTACACATATAGTCATAAGTGACAACATACTCTTCATATTCTTTGACAGCTTCTCCTACAGCTTCAAAAAATTTATCCATACCAGATCCCGACATTGCTGATACACCAATTACCTACACACGGATAATTAATTGGATAATGATTGATTAACAATTTTGTATATTTAAAAACAAAAAAAAAACTTTTTTTCATTCATTTTCATTGTTGTTACCCTTAAATGTTTATAAAATTCTTCTAATACCAAACACATGGAATTCATAAGGCTAGTCATATAACTGGTATCTTTTTGAAGAGCTTCTTGAAAAGATTCAAAATCAGTCATCCAATCAATAGCAAATTGATGAGAGATGACATCTGTCTTATTGAAAACCAGTATAAATGGCAATTTAGTTTTATATAAAATGCTAGGAAAATAATCAAAATTTATCAATTATTTAATAAATTAATATTAAATACTAAATAACATTAAATGTATTTACAATATTTAATTTACCTGCAGGCATATAACATATTACTCATAAATGTTGCAGGACTTGTTGTTCTAGGCGTATCTATAATATACGCGATTACACATGGGTAGGATGCAGCTAAAGCATCAGTGATAATGGCTCCGGAAGCTGACCATGTAAATATTTCAATTTGACCAGGTGTATCTAAAGCAATATAACTATATTTTTTTAAATTTTTTGGAAATCTTTTAAAGAATAAAATTATATATATATATATATATATATCTACTCTAGAGATGAAGAACGTTTTGATATAAGATCCAAAACTTGATCAAATTTTGTTGTAAATAAATTTAAACTTGTTAAAATTCCACCATTAGGTCCTAAATTGTATCTGTTTTTTTAATAGTTGTATTGGTAAATATTGATAAATGCTATATAGTAATAATTATAAGAAGCATCAATTTTCAAAATAATTACTGTTTCATAACTTCTTTATAATTTACAGTATCTCTAATGTCTATATTTGCGGCAAATGGAAGTTGAGTGACCGCTGGATCAAGATTAATTATATAAGGTGATTTCTTGATACTGTGAAGATACGCATTTAATCTCTTAAAATACAAAAGAAACCTGTCAATGAATTTCTTTTGAATTGGGAATGAGTCTAGAGAAAGTTAAGTAACAATATCTAATTACCTGCATTAAAGTTGTTTTGCCAGAGCCTGCCATACCTATGCACAAGAGTATGGTAGGTTGTTTTTCATTATTTGAATTTGTAGAAGTTGACATTTTTATATTTTATAGTTTTTTAACCGTGTTACAAAAATATTAATATGTAGATAATCAAATTTTAGTGATCAATTTGTTAAATCTTTTTCTTTTCAATATAAAAATTTTTAAATTGTGTCAAATCGTAGATTTCCAATTCTTTACTATTTACTTTAACTAGCAAAATGTATAGAAATATATATATATATAATATGAATTGATTTAAAAATGTGTAATTTTTTATTCAAATTTTTATTTTTTAAAATCATATATATATATATAAACAGGGACTCAAAGAAACAAGCAGTTATGGATCAAGTCAGAAATGAGTTAGCATTAGCTAATGCACAAGAACTTATTAACGTACGCGAAATATAATGTGAGCAAGGAAAAATCTTGCTAAGTTGATTAAATTATATATAATTTTCATCATTGTTTGCAGGCATAGGATTGAAAATTATATATAATAATATTAATATATTTATTTAATAAATCAATCAGAGTAGCATTAATAAAAATATTATATTTTTTTCATCTCTAAATAATCTAAACAATCTAGAAAATGAATGAGAAATGTTTTGCAAAATGTATAATGAAACCAGGGAATAAATTAGATACTGGTGAACAAGTAATTAATTAATTGATTAATATTATTATTACCATTATTATTTTTTAATTGACTACTTACTGATTTAATTGATTTGATTTGAATAGACTTGTGTTGCTAAATGTATGGATCGTTATATGGAAGCATGGAACATAGTATCTAGAGCTTATATTAGTAGAGTACAACGAGAGAGTAATAATAACTATTAACTTTTATTATATAATATAATAGTAGTAGTAATAATATAGTTTTGATTGAACAATGAAAAATGGTATTGAGAAGGAAGAAATAAAAGAAAAAAAAATAATCTGAAAAATTTTTAAAAAAGCAAAAATGAAAAAATTTATTATAATAATTATAATAATAGTGAATTATTGATTAATTTATACACATGTAATAAATATATTTTTATTCATCTTTATAATATGGAAACAGAATGAGCATTATCTCACAAATGAATTGCAGGGTTAACATCACAGTATAATGTGATCATGGTATTAACGGCTTTTATTTTTGGTAACATTCATTTAGGGGCAACTTGATTCTTCTTAAAAGTGGTGACGATGAAGCTTTGAAGAATAGCTAACTAAAAATTTCTCCTTGAGCAGGCAAAAAAAATAAGCAAAAAGAATAGAGGAAATACTCCATATACTTTTATATTATAACAGTCAATGATTATCACATGACTTTAAAAGCTTAAACCGATAGAATTAAAGCTAAAGACCTAAGCTTCATTCTATCGGTTTACTTTTTTTCACTTTATTAAAAAAGTTTTGAGTTATAAGGCTTCAAAGTTCGGCCATTTTATATATGTCTATATTAATATGTAAATTGTAAAATTTCCCCTTGTGATTTCCTAAAAGACCGGGTGATTTCGTCTCTAATAAACTATAGTTTTTGCAAGTTAGTCATAATACATGGATGTAATAGACCCGGCTGGGCTACTGGTCTGAGGCAACATTTAATTGCTTATATTATAAACTTGGACATATTACAACAAAACCAAACAAGAAATTTCAGAGATCAAAATTTAGTATTATGATATTAAATTTTTTCTTGTTTCATAATTTTTTAATTGTTAGATATCCTCTATATAAAATAATAAATCCAAAAGTATAAATTCAATAATAATAAGGATCTAGTTTTCATTTTGTAGATGAGATTTTTCTACTTGACAAACCGTTCTTCAAAATATCAATTGGTACTTTATTTAATTAACTCTATTTTTTCCTTCTTCTAGTGCATTATTAATCGAAACTTGGAATATTTTAGTATCATTAAAAGGTTCTTTTAAAAACAACTAAACGTCATTGTATATATGTATTTAATGAAAAAAAAAGGAATTTTCTTTAAATCATCGTCACTCGTTTTTAAAAAATGTTCATTGATTATTATTTGAATAATTTTGCAGATTTTTTCCCATCTGAACAATTATATTTCCACCTTTAAAATCGAATCTACCAATATTTTTTGATAGATTTCTAATTATTTGCCAAAGTTTTGGATGTTTTGGACTTGAGAGATGAGAATAATAATAAAAGTAATAATAATGCTCACTTCAGTTTTCTCAGTTATGGCTATATACACACTGTGCATCCATTCTTAATAGCATCATATACAAACAATATAGTTGTAGCTAATATTATTATATATATGCATTTAAAATGAATACTTGTCAGCATGTATGAAACTAGAGATTCTAATTTATGAAATTTATTGTCTTGCCAATCAACATAAACATACCCTTTAACATCTTGGTCTTTTGAGTCCACATTCCTTGATCAATTTGACCTTTACCAACTTCACCTACACCGAATTCACACTCTCCTAATAATTAATTAGTTCGTATTTTTTGGTAATCGGAACCTGTTCTACTTTTATTCTTACGTTTAGATGACGCCAAACTGCAAGACTTTCTACTGCAGTATTCAACCCGTTTATATTCGTGAAACAATTACCAATGAACGTAACATATACCACACTTTTAAATATTTTTGTTCAAGTTTCAGATTCATCCTTTAACGATTGGATAAAATCCAACTATTTATAATATGTGATTAAATGTTTTCCTTTATCTCCTTACCAATCTCGTGTTTTGTTGTTATCCTTTCTAATTTCATCAATTCCTTGTAAGTAAGAAGTAATATCACTTATATCCATTAAATACCCGGATATTAGCCTAATTAAACTATTTTAACCGTTTTAGAAAATTTGACCGCAATTATAGCAAAAATTGCCTCACGTTACTCTCCAAAATCTATTTCGGCTCTAGTCGTATCAGCCTAGCTTGTCCATTTAATTCATTTTGACCACTATGTTACTCTCTAAAATCCATTTCAGCCATAAAATAAATGTGCGTGCCCGTTATCATACAGACCACTTAACTTCGGTCTTCAGTTGTTTGCTGTTTTATCCATTTAAAAAAAAAATTTTTAAACTTTAAATGATGAATTAGTTCCAACACAAAGTAATCGATCTTGATCTTCTAACTCATTAGTCATATTTACAAACTATATTGTTATAGTTGTTAATATTAAAACTATTTTTTACTAATAAATTTTTATTAAGTTGTGATAAACTTATTTCAATAAGTGTGGCCCGATTTATCAAGAGATCCAACTTATCGAAATATGCAATTTTAAAAGCAAAAAAAGAAAAATCGTTTAAACCGTTTATTTATTTATAAAAATTAATAATAATTGAAAAAATAATAAAACAGATAGAAGATAAAACAAAAAAACCACTATTATTCCGAATTTTCTTTTCATACAGGTAATTTTGAATTTGATGCCGCCTCACCAAGGGCATTGCGGTAAAGTAACCCTTGATTTGGCTAGCTCCAGATGTATTAATTTTTCTGCTCGATGGATGTAGTTGCATTTATGATCCTCAGCATGGAATACTTTTAAGAGTTTGGCTTTATATCCGCGTTATTTTTCTCATTATTTTGGTTCACCGCGAATGGTTCAAAGGTGAGGCCGAATCTTTTCTTTATCAACAATATAATCATCGTGATTTTGATTTTAGTGTATGGTCCATAACTGATTTCTATGAACAACAGACCATAGTGTACTAATATATGGAAAAATCGACGAATAATTGCAGATTTAATTGTAATAATATTTCTTGCCATGTACATCCATCCCTAGAAAAAATTAAAAATATACAATGTTATCATCAATAATGCAAAATGAAAATCTCGTAATCAACATTTTGTTTATAATCAAAATCAATGCAAGTATATATACCATTCCAATATATGGAAAAATCGGCGAATAATTGCAGATTTAATTGTAATAATATTTCATGGCATGTACTTGCATCCCTAGAAAAAATTCTCGCAATCACATTTTGTTTGTAATCGGTGTATAATTTAATAAGTATATACCATTTTTTCCTAATAACACAAATTGCATAATTGGTTTTATAGCCTCGCGAGGATATTTAAATTGGGTCCTTATGTTGGAATGAACTAGTGTTCCATATTTCCTCACTTTTATAGAATGGTAAAAATTTAAAAAATATAACTACATATAAATCTTTATAGTTAAAAATCATAAAATGTACTCACGCCTCAAGCAACTTCATCCAATTTTCGGAATGCTATATATTCTGACAAATGGGAGAGTGGTGACAGAATTTCATATTTTTTGGTGTGAAGTGGGAAAATTTTGCCTTTAGCATGCTATCTTTTGTATGATTATTTTAATTAAGGTGGCAGGCTAGCTTTAAATTAACAATAGGTTAATTGGGGGGGGGTAGAATTATGTGTAAAAATTTATAAATATTTAATAATGCATTAAAGTTTAGATAAATAAATGTGGTCACAAGGCCTCACTTTGGCAATAAAAAAAATAAAAATAAGATATACTCACAAGTTATACATCAACACCAAAAGAACCGTGCGCACACTTTTTTTTTAATGAAGAGATATAGTGAGGGAGGAGAGAGAAATTATGGTCACCACTTTCATCTTGATTTTTATTATTATTATGATCAGACGATGAAAGAATGGCTGTTCATTTCGTGCATAAATCTAATCATACAAATAAGCATATTGATATCATTTATGTGCAAGTATACCATATAGATATATTTATTAAAAAAAATGTTTATATGAATCAAATACCTTGTTATTGCTCCTCAAATTATATTTTTTTCTTCTATTATAATGTTAATATTAATAATGACGTGTTAACCAAATTACCATTCTTTTTAATAATTACAACTAATAACTAGAACAGCTTTCAAAACGATCATACTTACTCGCGCGTTCCTCTTCTGTCATTCTGTTTATTTTTCTTGAAAAACAATTTATTTAGGAAATTCTGTTGATCAACATTTGCAATTACCAATCACATTTCATAATATTATTATTAATATTGATTATATTTTTTTTCTTTTATATTTTGAA